GGGGGGTTCCCCCCCCCCCCCCCCCCCCCCGATGGGTCGATGGCGTTCGATTGTCCTTTAGAGTCGTTTGGTTTCCGATTTTCCCACCTTCAGCGGTTTTCCTAATAGTTGGTCGATGACCCGATTTCTACCGAAGGGTCTGCAGCCCTTTTCGACCGCTTGACACCCGATTTCGTCCCGGGGGTTCGCGCGAGCGAGATCTCAAGGACCCGCGGCGATTCGTCCGAGTTTGACTCCGAGTTCCACTGAATTCGAAGGGTGTTCCGAGCCAAGAGTTGCATGCGAATTTCGAAGATCTTAGCGCAAATTTCGAAAAACGCCAAGATCTGGAAATTGTTAGGATTATTTCAAGTCTCATTTGTGCAGCTCTATCCGCAACGGAAGAGCACCCCCCCCCACCCCCCCCCCCCCCCCACCCCCCCCCCCCCCCCNCCCCCCCCCCCCCCCCCCCCCCCCCCCCCCCCTCCGCCGCCAGTGAACGACTGCCTCGTGGCCGGGAAGTCAAGTGGTACTCGTCCAACTTGACATCCCCAGAGCGAGCGACACCTAGGATTCCGGAGACTGATTTTTTAAATTATCCCTCCAAAGGGAGTATGGACGAGTGTCTCTCTATTTTCTTAGAGCCATTTCAGTGCTATTATGAATATTCATCATCACTTAATGCTTTCCACGCATTCACAACGTGACAATGAAAAATGTCATTCCGTAATTAAAGTCTCACCGGCGGTTATAGGAACTTGAACCAGTTCCGATCGAGCTCGGGTCGGAAAAACCCATCACGCTCCACGTTACCGGTGCCTTTTGGTGCCAAATGGTTCGTTTGAAAGTACCTCACCTCAGGATTCCCAAAGTGAAACTCGGTGCTTGTATGATGATTCCTTCTCCGTGATGGAGTGATTCATTTTTTGTCGTCGGCAAATTTAATGCAATCCACGAGGCCTCGATCTAAATCGTTGAAATACGCGAGAAAATTTTGTCCCAAGACGATCTCACGACTCACGGATGACGAGAAGAAGCGAGCCAGGCATGAATGCAGCTCCACGACGATCCTTCTAAACGTGGCGGACGGGAGATCACGGAGACGGACGGTCCATGCAGGAGGAACCTCCTTTTTGAATCCAGCTTTGCCCCTGCGCGCTCGTCCCTTAACTGCACCTCGCACTCGGTGCGAACGATTTCGACGGTGGCTCGCAATGCGTCCGTCGATAGACGCGGTCCTTCAATCCCTCCCTGAGTCGAAAATTCGCCTTGTTTTTCTCTAATTCGAAGTTACTGCCGTTCCAGGCGAAAGTCTCATTAGGACATTTCCCCCCTCTATAACTGCGCTTAGACGAATTTCTTGATGAATTTAAATTCATTGCTCTACTTTTTCCATTTTTCCTGTACAAGGACATCACGAACTTCACGTCAACCGCACTTCCTGCAGAAAGCCAAAAATGCGATGATTCACGAGTTTAGTTTCCGCTCCGATCGGTTGGGAACGTCAAGGCTGCGATGAGTCACGCGGTCTTTGTGCCTGCACCTTATCGATGCTTTGAAATTTTGCAGAGCTTTGTTGAGGTCACATCTGGTTTGGCACATGAGACTCTGCACGCAATCACGCATTGGAAAACACCGGCGAATGTGAACGTGCCGCGAGAAAGCGCCAAACTCTCCTGATTGACTTTTTCAAGCAACTATGCTAAATTGAATAGGCGTTGCACGTTTTGTAATACTGTGCACATGTATGAGCAATTTTGTAGCACTTAGAATCCAATGAACCTCCATAGCTCTAATTTCCATCGACCTTCGAATTTCCGAGAGTTTTCATTTCTCCTCGTTCGGAGAAATGAAATAAAGCGTGGTACATGCTCTCTGGACACAGAATTACTCCAACACATTTGATTTAATTCCTGAAAATTTTTGAGTACCAGCCAATATATTTCACCAACAGTTATTCTGACATTCCACCGGCAGTTAATTTCCCTCCACCATAGTCATCACATTCTTCGGAGACAAAATCATCAAACGCTTTTGAAAAATAAAAGCAGTCGTTCTTACGTCGCAGATATACGTGAATAACCACGGAGAATTCGAGAAAGTCTTCGATCACGCGTCTGCGTCGCGTGGAAACGGGACGACAGAGTTGCCAGATGTGCCATTGCATGCCTTCTCGACCAGCAACCCTGTCTACGCTGCCACGAGCAGCCGCTCTCTCCCTTGACTTACTATGGATGCCGCCAGCTGCGAGAGCTGAAAGGGAACTGACTGTTCCTCTCGGTCGACATCCCGACCCAGGCGGAAGGTTGCGCATGCGCAATGCGTTCTCGGCTCGAGTCGAGAACGGGCCATAAAAAATGAAAGGATGGTAAAGAGTTAAAACCGAGCTCTATATCTACCGTTTTCTGCACAAGTCACTATGGGAACGGCAGACAAATCGCTTTTTTTATGGATTTCCGAATGACGTTTCCGTTTTCCATGTTCATGAGATAAGCTTCGTGAATATGGATTTCCCTCTTTCCGATAGATGATGAGCAAACTGGACGAGCTCGTTCTGGGGTTGGAGCTTCTTTCATTGAACAGGATGATGGACAGGGTTGCCAGATGTGGGGCTTAGTGACCCTTGTTTCATTCCTTGTTCTTCGTGAGTTGAAAATGAATTCTTCCGAGTGTGACTGCAGGATGAAGGCCTTTACCGAAGTTCAACTTTTCCCCTTTAATTAACCTACAAACTCGAGAGAAAAAAAAAACGGGACCGGAAACGCTGTCGCTCGCTACAAAATGAAGCGGAGAAAGGGTTAATATTTACAGGAATTTGTTCTGGCGCGAATCCCACCAATATCGCCGAAGGTCTTGGAAAAAAACCAAAAACCAATTGTCGCGAAGAGTTCTTGCCACGAGTCTCACATCTGTCAACAGGCACGGATGCCAAATCAACTTTTCGGTTAACATACGAGTATTTAAACCCTCAATTAAAGGGAAATGTATTCAATTTAGTTTCAGTATAACTCACTTGGATCTTTCCAAAAACTGTATCTATGAGCGTTCACGCTGGAGATACCCTGGGTTTCAATCACATAGATGAGCAAGAAATAAAGAAAAGGAAGACAAGATCCGGGCAATCGGCCTAATTGAGCTCAATCAAGAGCCGACAGGCGACCGTTTGAAAGGCATCAGAAATACTGAGAAAGGCTAAAATCAAAGGTAGGCATCTGAAATGAGCAGAATGGTTTTTACCTATAGAAAATCCAGCCGCAAATTTTCTGGTCGACTCATCATCGTCACACTGTTGACTGCTTCGGGTTTCCCATTTTAGCTGTGTTTTAAAGAAAACCTGCCCCGTCGAGAGGCAGATCCGCCCTCAAAAGGGGCAATTTTGTTAATCCCATGCGTGACTCCAGCAACGCATTCTTTCTTCGGATGGAATAAGTCAATTGATATTCCCTGCCTTGACTATTGCCATTTCAAGCCAAAGTCATCAATGATCGTACCCCTAGAATATGCGTGCCAAATTTAATATTTGAGGTGACCTCGCGGTTGGGGCCACGTCTTTGACCTATAACCTCTCAACATGAGAAATTGGAGTCTTCGTATTCCCGAAGGCCGTGAATTCCCCAGCTCGTTTTGATGAAAAACGTCCAGATTCCATTATTGCTGGGTTGAACTTTCATTCGGCTTCTCATTTAAGTCCAGCGGGAAACGTCATGGCCTGTCGATTGCTATACTTTTACAATGAAACCGAAGTTTCGATCCACGGTGACGATTACGAATTGCAATCCACCGTTTTTACCTGGCAGATCTCTGTGAACAGCAGCACTCACCTCTGGAACGCCTTCAACCTGCTCGGCTGGACGTGGAGGCAGCAGGCAGCCGTCGTGAACAAGCCGGTGGACCGTGACGCCTGGATCACTCACCCGACCATCGTGAACGCCTTCTACTATCCCAGCATGAACTCCATCACCATCCCGGCGGGGATCCTCCAGAGTCCGTTCTATGAGAAAGGGAGGCTCGCGGCAATGAACTACGGCGGGATCGGGATGGTCATCGGGCACGAGATCACGCACGGGTGAGTGGAGAGAGGGAACTGCTTTTTTTTACCCCCACGGATACATGACTAAATTGTAATATCGAATATATTTCCAGGTTGTTTATATGGGACACAATACAAAAATGACATGCGTTAACTCTTGCAGAGAACATTCATTTGAAGGAATGCCCGTAAAAGAAACATATAAATCAAGTCTTGTATTTCCTAAACATTTTTTTTTTATCGAGTAGTAAAGGTCTCAAAGACCGGTCTCATAAATCCAAGGGATTAGCAAGCAAGAAAAACAGGAAAAAAAAATAGGAATAAAAATATTTGAAATGTATTTTGATAGGAAATTTTGTTTTGTCCAACAAATGCTGAATCACAACAACGAGGACGAGAGAGAATGAAAGTATCAGGTCAACCTTTATAGATTAAATCGCCTCACGGGAATGAAATAAATTAACTCTGAACAATCCTCAGAGCTTCTGCTTTGTATCATCATTATTTTCCCCTTATCATTTCCCAAAGAATGTCGAAAGAAAAAGTAACCCGAGGAGAAGGTTTCGGACGGTTCCTACCAATTGGCAGGGCCATTGGCAATTGGCTCAGGGCAATCGGCTCAATCAGCCTCGACAGGGCAGCGCCTTCGGGATCGGATCGACTCCGAATGCTCTGAAATTAAACTCGATGGGCCGGTCGAGGAAAATCCAGTATCCGGCCTCCGGTTCTCGAATAATAGGCGATCGGATGATAAAGAATTGAAATTTCGCCAAGTCAAAATTTTCAGGCGATTTTTTGCGACAAATTTTATTTTACTATAGAAAATCATAAGATTTAAGGTAATAATTTATTAACAATTAGTAGAAAAGGGGGAAAAAAGTAAATACTTAAAGAGAGATGGAATGCATTTCGAAATGTAAGCTAGAAGGAATGCAAATAATAAGTCGCCAAAAAACAGCGATGAGGAAGAAGCTACAGCCGTTCCAAAACAGTTGGACCTCCCTATAAAATATCGGGGGAACGGACAGCCCAGCCAACTCATTTTCATCCGGAGTTACGGATGAAACCGTCCGATAGACGTTTGAACGCAATTTGCTTTTCGCGATCGGATAACCGATCGATCGAACGGGCCCCGGGGACCGAATTCGAAAAGATGCTCAGCCTGCAAGGCGGGCACTCCCAGCTGCCACCCGGACGAGCGGGACGACGGGGCCAGAAGAATCAGGCGAGAGAGGGTTTCTCTGGGTCTCTTCCGCTTTCTACCATGTTCCGGTTGTACTTCATCGCCTCAACAATCTTTTCTAAAGAGTGACCCCCCCCTCCCACAAACTCGTCCGTGGACGAGGAACTGACAGTATAGAAGGGCTCGAACCGCGAGGCGATGCCTTCCCAGACCCGCATCAGACCGAAATGTTCTCTCTCACCGATAGGGGAACCTCTTTCGAGGCGCGCCAATCAAGTCGCATGGCCCTGGGAGTCCGCTTTACCTTCCTCCAAGAGTCAATCTCATGGAAGATAGGCATAGACTCGTATATTGGAAATTTGCAATTTGCAAATTTGCAATCTACTTTTGCAAAGCTGAACGAAATATTTATAGCTAGACAATTTCCGATCCTCAAAAAAGTAACTTTTTTTTCCATGAAAAATTATAATATATAATATAATATAAAATTATAACATATAACTCAGAGTCTCATGGAGACATGAGAGATTCACGGATTGGCATCATGAACTGACGGATCGCTTGCCTGCCGCATGTACGCGCTTTTTTTTTCTAGGTTCGATAATTCCGGCCGCCTCTACGACGCGCGCGGGAACTTGGTGAATTGGTGGACGCCGAAGACGGCGGAGACCTTCAAGGAAAAGGCCCAGTGCTTCGTGGATCAATATAGCGGCTATGAGGTTCCCGAACTCTCGGGCATGGAAGGTATTTATCTCTGGATGTGGTCGTTCTCCGTTCACATTTCCATGGGCTTTTTCCAATGTGATTTCAGGAGATTGAGGTGGAGCTTTACCGCTTCCTCTCTTTGCGATCGTCGACGTCTCCTCCTACAATTTCTCGCGTATTTAAAACGATAATTTCGGATTTTCCATATTTGCGCGTTTGTGCACGTTCCAGAGCGATTTGTGAACGGGACCTTGACTTTGGGAGAGAACATAGCCGACAACGGAGGGGTGGAAGAGGCCTTGCTCGCCTTCTTCAACTACATCGACCGGAACGGAGCGGAGCCCTCCCTCCCTGGTCTCGACTTCCTCACGTCTGAGCAGCTCTTCTTCGTCACTTTCGCCTACGTGAGGGGATTTCTCTCGCGTCCTCCAGTCGTTCTTCGCGTTTTCCTGCATGCTTCCGCTTTCGTCTTTAGAATTGGTGCGGTCACAGCACGAAGGAGTATCTGCAGAACCAGATTCTGTACGACCCGCACAGTCCTGCGAATTTCAGGGTCCGCGGGTCCCTGAGCAACAGCGCCGCCTTCGCCAAGGCCTTCGGGTGCCGGGCCGACCAGCCCATGGTCAGGGGAAACGACAGCTGCATCTTGTGGTACGCGTCGAGTGGTGATACGGTCCCGGCGACGAGCGGAAATCCCATCGTGGTCCTATTGCCTCTCGTTTCGTTTGCAGGGGGCCGGACGAGTCTGGAGGGTCGGTGCCTTCTTCCATGCGCTTGGGCTACTACTTCGTTTCCCTGTGGTTGCTCCTAAGACTGGGCCAGTGGAATTTCCCTTGAAAACTTTCCATTCCTCACTTCTTATTTAATTTTTTTTTTATTTAGAATATTTCTCATGACTGATTCGATTCGTGGAAATAGTATGTTGTTTGGGTGGCAGGTACACACATCTGAATGGTACCCTATAAAAGAACAAATATATCTTGCAATACATTGCAGTGACATTCTGAGAAAGGATTCATTTTTCACGATCGAGTTACGGCCTATTTTTCTCTTCCCATGAACTCTGGAGTTCATGCTGCAGTGCCTGCCCCACGGTGGTGCATTCCGTTTCGAGGAATATTTTTAGTGCGAATTCTCTTCTTGTGAAGTCACTCGGACAATTTTGAAAGCTGCATCAACGTTTTCTTCGAGGTTTGTGGCTGAAATTTTCGCGGTAAGAGAGAGACTCTGAGCAAGGCTTTTAAGTCTTTGGCAGGAATGCGTTTTTTGCACGGAAAGAGAGAGTGCATATTGCAGAAATTCTAAATAGGATACGCATAGCACAGGGAGAAAACGCGGAGCACCGGCGGAAAGTGCTTCACATAAATATCAAATAAAAAGATGAAATGATCCAATTGAACAGGCCAAAGAGGGAATCGAGACTCACCGAATTCAGAAGTACCAGTAAGCACGAGTCGTGTGCAAAGGCTAGGTTTCTCTCGCACGAGACGGGTTGGATCAGTCGAAGTTAGCCGGGCCGGCCAACCTGCCAAAATAAAGTGGTCGAGGCTCACGAAGGCTACCTCCTCGACAACTTGCCGACTTCCAGCAGATGGATGAAGACTGCCTCCTCGACTGAGTGCAACGACATTGGGAACAGTCCATGGACTGCTTAAATGCCCAAAATGTTGAGCATTCAGAGACAGTTCAAATTATGCATTCCCTGTAAGTTCTCAGAAGTTTCGACAAGGGCGCGAATGGAATTTTCCCAAGCAGCAACATGTTGAAAGAATTTTCTCCTTCAGGATTCGTCTGACTGACCATTAGCGTCTCGGAAACGATCACCGTTGAAGCTGTGAAGGCCATCGCGCGGCAGAGTCTGTCTGGGAGAGAAACCTCCCTCTGCGGAGGCAGTTCGAATTCCCCGTCATCCTTCGCAGGAGGCGTTCACCTCCGGTTTTCGAGCGGACTCTACTGCTACATTCATATATATATATATAGATTGAATAGAAGAAGACTGCAATGCCCCTCCCAGCCAAAGCCACCCCACGGCAACAGGCAGGAAATGTCTGGCCACTAGCCCAGGAGAAGAGGGCAGAAAACCATTGAATCCTGGAAACAAACTATGCCAAAATAGCTTGCAGAGCTGGGGCAAAGCTGAAGAAAGTTAAAATGGAGAACTGAAAGCGAAGGATCCCATCCTGGTAATTTGTCAGGCAGCCTGCGTCGTCAGGGGGTTGAGGCCGCAAGTCTGACTAAACAAACCCTACCCAGAAAGTTTCTACTGCCAGGTGCTACGGCCTATAGAATTAAACAGTAGGACTGTACCTAATGCCCCAGAGGCAATCACGGCTTAAGTCCGTCTGTCAGTGCCACAGTTAACGATCGATTAGCTCGATCAGCCTCGCGACTGAAATGCATGGTAGACTCAAGCCTATGAAGGAAAATGAGCGAGAGCATGGCTCGGAATGGCTCAAGCCTATGAGGGAAAAGAATAATGGAGGGGAAGGCTAGTTGCGAAACAAGCCTATGCAAGAAAAAACGTAGCCCAGGGAAAAGGCCCTACCATGCATTCAGTTAACTGTGTCCTACACTGACAGACTGGAGCGATGCCCAGATTGCCTCTGCTACCTTCAGGCCTNGAAGTGCTGATTCTTCATCTCCTCAGAAAGGATCTTTTTCACAAGACATTTCACTTTCGCTTTGCTGAGAAAGTTTATTTCATTTTTTAATTTATTAATGGCATTTGTGGAGAGGAATTCACGTTCCCACTTCTTCATCAACTCTCCAAAGTCTACAAATTTCCTGTAAGGATTACAATTTGGAGGAGAGCGTCTATGCCTTCTTGAATAATTTTTCCTTTTCGACCTGGAATTTTGCAGAAATTTAAATATGCAGCATTGATCGACGTGCATTGACACATTCATACCCTGGTGCCTATCATTGAGACCACAAGGGTATGAAGTTTTGTGACCGATGATACATTGGTCCTCAGCCAAGAGTCTTTCATTATCGTCAATGACCACTTTCAAAATTTCAATCTTAATGTTTTGAAAGTTATGCCTCTGAAAATGTTGAATTTCTATATCTTGAGTTCTATTTAACTTTACAATTAAATAGAACTCAAGATATAGAAAGTCACTAGAGATTAAAGTAACGCCAGTAGTCTATTTCCGCGTTCGTAGGGATCTCAAGTCGTGAAAACGATTGCATAACGACCGTTCGCAAGCCGTTCCCGCGAAGACACTTGGGAAGTGCGCATCTCAAAGTATAACATCCGACCTACTCAAACATTCGATTCTACTTTGCGACCAGGAGTGCCCGTTCGCAAATCAGGCTCCCTTCACTTCAAGAGTGCTTTATGACCAGGAAACAGGCCGAAATCGAAATAGGCTCGATTAAATTCGCATTTCGCATCAACATCCTCGACACTCTGGTCCTATGAGCCCTGAAGATCGTCGGGACGTTTCCGACCCGAAACAGGCTCGACCAAGGCCCTGTAGTAAGGTGTAGCGATCGCATGGAGCAAGCCCCCTCGCCCACCCATCTTGACACTTTATCTTCCCCCTCCCTCAACATAGTTCGAGTGGAAACAGTGGAGGCTACTACCACCTTTGAGCAGGGCCCATGACCTGAACCTCGATCTTCCACCTCCAAGCCCACAGACTCTTCCTTCCCATTCAGCGACGACGATTTAATTCTTTTTGTAGATAAATAAGAAGGACTAACCAAATATGGTTGACTGTTTTACCCGTGAACTTGCTTGATCTTATTACCATCTGAACCCCACAACGGACTACATCCCCGTAGTAGCGTAATGATATGGAAAATAATGAACTCCATTGGACCCCATCACTATTATAGCACCAAAATCGTTGCAGCCAACTGTGGAATTAATTTGGGGGTTGACTAATTTGAATTCGGATCAGAGGTATCTTCCTGCATTCCGAGATTACCCGTTATTCTTTATCGTTAATCTCCAGACTCTTGGAAGTCCTCTTCCTTCTGGTCCTTGCGTACACAGCGCCGAAGCAGACGGCCACGAAACATTAGCCCCATTAAGCAATTCCTCCATTCCTTGAGCGATCCGCAACGACTGATGGCCGCACCCTCGCTGCACCAGGTCGGGAGGCGACACGGATGGAGATGAGATCGATGCCTCTGAGGGGCGAGCGGCAGGGAAGGACTCGCATCTCCCCATCCCTGCTCGACTCCGACGCATTTCCCATCGAGAAGGCATACATGGAAGGCGAGCCGTATCGCCCAAACTCGGAGGTCGAGAAACCATTCTCCGAATCACAGCAGCAGAAGAACCTCTGCACCACGTCAGAATGCCCAGAAGCCGGTGTGAATTGAAGCCATGAGAATTTATCAGTTCTGTCATTATACTCAGTTAACAATTACTAGGTATATTCGACTACGATTTCAATTTTTATTTTATACCTTATATTTTGTACTTGAGATTTTATTATGCGCCGTTTTGAGTATACTTACTTGGACCATAAAAACATGTTGGCTGGATTGACTCGATTTTTACACCTCGGACAAACTGGGTATAGTATACCACGTAACAAAGTATGGTATGGACAAGGAGCTGCTGGACGCGATGGATCTGACCCCTGCGAGGACTTCTACGCTTGCGGGAACCAGATGAAAAGAACCCCATCCCACCCGATTCCGACTACGTGACCGTTTCCAGCAGACTTCAGGACCAACTTGACTGGAGAGTCCAAGGTCCGCCGTTGAACTCAGAACGCGTCGATGTATGAACCTATGAGGTTCTTGTCGTTCGATTTTCGGTTCCTCGACAGATATCCTGAAAGCAGATCCCTCAGCGGACGAGAGCAAGTCTGTGCGCGACGCGAAGAACATGTACGCCATTTGAATCGACACTGGTAAGTCCTAAAAAAAAAAAGAAGCTGGGCGATCGAGATATGACACGTATGTGTCAGAAATTTGACACATTTTGGCACATTCCAAGTGTGTCATGTAATAGGGACCAAAAAGTTTTGTGTGCATGTTTCTTCTGATGACATGTTCATCCTGTTCGGGGGGTTGAACAGATACGTAGCTGAATTGTTCCCTGAGCCCCCGAAAAACTTATACGGTGCTATTTTCTTAGGGACTGGGTCCCTGCGACAGATAGAAGAGGAACTTCACGGGAGGCGAGGAATGGGATTTACCATCGGAGCATCTATTCTCTCTCGGAGGCTCGAGTTTGGCAGAGATTTTGGCCCAGACGGCCTTGCGAATCTGTCGATTTCTGCATCTCGCGATCACCCGAAGAATGTGCTGCATGATAAATCATAAATTATAAATAAAATCACTGTATGGTCTCAGCTTGGAGGCTCAGATCTGTGCCGAAAAAATCGCACGTGCCCAACAGACCAACATGAACGAATTGCGAAGGAAAACTTCCTCTTCTCATGCAAAGGATCCCCAAGAAATTCTCTTCATTAAAGCGCCTTCTCGGGATAATCTATGTAATCCAGCTTAGAGTGGCAGATAAAGTAATCGAAAAAAACGGCTAGTTATTTCTTCTTTGATAACATAGGAATTTCGATCAGGGTACAATTCATCGGTTCAAGGGTCTTTCATGATAAGGCTAACTGCGATTATAACGGTAATGCACTTATTACACAGCTTAATTTACATCACGTCTTTCCTTGCCCAGTCACTTTGTCCCGTGATTTACACGACGAGAGAGGATCAACATGACCATCAAGTTAGTCAGGACTGTCCTCCATTTATTAGCTGTCGTTCCATTCGCAATTGAGTGATCAAGTGTGTTTTTAAATATACCCTCTTGTTAATGTCACTTTTGTTGTGATTGTTGAATTAACGTATGTTTGCAGTCAACTCTCAATGCTCCGACTGGAGGTATGCCGCCGCCCTCGCTTCTTGCCCAGCTATTCCATTGAACTAATCCCTCAATCAGCTTGTTATATAGGAAATAATTTCCCTCCATGTTGACCCTATCATTGATATGGCACCAAGATCGCTGTAGCAAATAATAGAATTTATATTGAGGGTTAAAAAGACTCTAATTTGAATCCATGTCAGAGGGATCTCATTGAGTTCCGGAATTTTCTGTTATTCTTTCTCGATTCTCTGCAGACTCTTGGCTGTTCTGTATGTGATCATTGCGGACGTAGCGCCGAAGGGGACGGTACAGAAACGTAAGCGCTTCCCCCATTGAGCTCATCATTCACCCCTTGAGAGATCCGCAACGACTGATGACCGCACACTCGCTGCATCAGGTCCAGAGGCGACACGGATGGAGATGAGATCGACGCCGCTGAGGGGCGGGCAGCCGGCGAAGACTCATATCTCTTCCTTCCAGTATGACTCAGACGCAATTCCCATCAAGGAGGCATACGTGGAAGGTGGGTCGTATCGCGCGAAGCCAGAGGTCGAGAAACCATTTACTGAATCACAGCAGCAGAAGAAGAACCTATGCAGGAAGTCAGAATGCTCAGAAGCCGGTCTGAATTAATTTCTGAAGTCGTCTGAATTCATCATTTCTCATATCATTATACTTGGTTCACATAGATAACTTTGATGACAGTCTTCATTTTTGTTTCATACCTTGTAAATGTGTCCTCCAGTTTTTATGATGCGCCTTTTTGGACATACGCGGAAAATAAGCCAATGCTGGTCAAATTGACTAGATCTTAACCCTTTGTACAAATTGGGCCTATCGTGCAGCCAAGGAGCTGCTGGACGCGATGGATCTGACCGTGGATCCCTGCGAGGACTTCTATATGTACGCCTGCGGGAACTGGATTAAAAAGAACCCCATCCCACTCAATTCCGACTACGTGACCGTTTACAGCAGACTCCAGGACCAATTCGACCGGAGAGTCCAAGGTCCGCCGTTTAAATCGGAATGCGTCGATGCACGAACCTATGAGGTTCCGGTCGTTTGATTTTCGGTTCCTCGACAGATATCCTGAAAGCGGATCTCTCAGCGGACGACAGCGATTCTGTGCGGGACGCGAAGAACGTGTACGCCGCTTGTGTCGACACCGGTAAGTCCTAAAAAATAAAGGGGCCGATCGAGAGGAACTTCTTGGATGAAAAGGATTTGCATGAAAATATCAGAGTTGAAAGAAATCAGTAAAAGAAACAAAACAAAAGCAAATAAAGTTTTCCAGCTTTCATTCGCGCTTGTGTGCGCGCAACAGAATTTAATACAATAGTTTATGCATTTCTTCCACTGCAGCAACACTGGAGTCTCTGGGTCTGACACCCCTCACCTCTTTCATGGCGGACTACGGCGGCTGGCCGATGACGCTGGACGAATGGAAGGAGGAGGACTTCGACTGGCAGGAGACGATGGCCGCCTGGATCCGGGAAGCCTCGCTCAAAACGCTCGTCGCGGCCTCGGTGGAGCCGGATATGAGCAACATCGACAGGAACGTTCTCTACGTGAGTCTCGGGTCTCCACGTTTTCTTAGGATTTCGGGGCGAACGCCCGTTTCTTGCACGTTTGGAGGTCGTGCGTTCGCTTCGCCATCCCATCAGCTGAAAATGGCGGAATCCAAATGGGACACGCTTCTGTACCCCACGCATCACGAGACGCTCGACGCCTATGGGGACTTGATGAAGGGGGTGGCGAAGCTGGTCCGGGACTCGCTCGGCTCCTCGGTCGCGGACGCCTCGATCGATCGACAGGCGGAGGAAGTCGTCGACTTCGAGGTCGCCCTCGCCAAGGTATTTTCCCCGAACATGCAGATGTTGGCATTCTCCAATGAGTTCATCGCGCGTTCGGCGGCGCACGAAATGCGAACGCCGATTTCGAAAACGTTCACGCGGTATGCTCCGAGGTCTTCTTTGATTAGTTCTTGCCGGGCGTGACGAGAGCTTTGCGGTCAACGTTGGCCATCCGTCTTCCGTCTGAGCGAGAAATTCCTTCCCTCGTTGAATTCGCAACTGAAATGTGGAGACTCGTGGCTCGTTAAAGGACTGCAAGGTCGGCATGTCTGTCTTGGTTGTTGCAGTGGTATTAACACAGGTCATAATTAGCTATGTCTTCTTTTTGGCACGTGCTGCGAGTTGGCAACCCAGCGTCCAACACTTTCACAGTATGGTACACCGCCAAAAAAGTTTTTGCCAACGCCTGAAAATTTCAGTAATATCCGCTGGTTCCTTCAAACAAAAAAAAATAAACATGCCCTCCCGAAATTACGACTAGTTACATTTTATGTTTGACAAGCGACGATCGGCCTTGCTGCATGCCAAATTTAGAATATAAATTCCCAAGCCATCACTTTTGGCAAAAGTGTAACCATTCAGTCTGACGTGCAGCCAGAAGGACACCGGCAGAAATGGCATTGGATGAAGAAATTGGCATGGCAATGAGAATCCAAGGCAATGAGAATTTATGTCACGCTCATCGTTGTTGCTATTGGATGACGTTACTTCGTTACTTTGTCACGTGAAATTTCTAATTGAGACTTATTTGCAACTGGCTTTCGCTGAATTTAATTTTGAAATAGCGTCGGGCGTCGCGGGCGGACGTCACATTGCACGACAGCAGGACCCGGGACGAAGAACACTCGACGGCCTTCCCAGCCTCCAGTCTCGGGAGAACGGTCGGCGGGGAGCCATCCAGCGGGGAGCCATCCAGCGGGGAGCCATCAAGCGGCTCGGAGCTGGTAAGTCCAGCTGGCGATTTTCTACCGCTCGTTGTGCAAAGCCTCTGGCTTTCGGATTTCAGAGTGAAGCTTTCTCCGTGATTGTTGAATCTCTATTTAAGAAAAATTGGAGATCTTGTACAACCAAGGGACACAACCCGAGTGATGAATTTCGATTTCGATCCAAATTTGGTCATAGAAAGCACTCCCGAAACAGAGTCAAAAGGCACCAAAACTTGCGGCCTATTGCCATAGCGATGCCTTTAAACTCCCAAACGATGAATATCTCCTCGGACGTTCGCTGGCTTCCGTGAATTCGTTTCGAAGGCAATTCGGACCTCACTGACGGATTCCCCGAATTTCTCGTTCTCGGTCGCGACCACATAGAACGACGGCTCCTGCCCCGCGAGGGACTTCCTCTCCTACCTGGCCGGACTCTCCAGCCGGACTCCAGAGAGCACAGAGGAGGCATCCAGCGGTCCGGATCTCACGACTCAGGTAGCGATTCGGTCTTCCGTCTCGAAGGAGTGGAATGCGATGCCTTTCCAGACATTCGATGGAGCCAGGCTAAGAATCATCGTCCGCGGACTACACGTACAGATGGATGGAGGATGACACAGTGCCTATCTATATAAACTGCGTCATCCTCCATGCCCGCAGATGATAGTGCCGGACGAGGACAGGCCGAATCACACGGAGCCATACGACAAGCTGAGCCTGGCGGATCTCCAAGCTGCGACTGACGTCATCGCTGCGGGAATCGCGAGTCCTCGTTCCCTTTTCTCATCGCATGCATCGATTTTTTCTTAGCTCATTCCTTTCCATATTTCAGGTCTCGTGGAGGGATTTCTTGAGCTCTTTGTTCTCGAGTGTGAACGTGACTTGGAGCGACGACGACGAGGTCGTCTCCTCGGGCTCCTTCGCCGACATGGCCGCCCTCCTCAAACGAATTCCAAAGAGGACGATCGGTGAGGAACCCATGGAGTGGAAGCCAAGCCGAAAATTCCTTCGCTTCCGTTGAGTTGGTCTGTTGTAGCGGAGAAGGTTCCAACGGGAAAAATTCCCTTTCCAGCTTTTTTCTTGGATGAGATTCTCAAAGAGATTATTTTCACGTCTACATACTTCCGCCTCGTGCACAACGAGAGCGTCTGTCCGTCCAGAGAGTGGACAAATGAAATATGTTGATGTTTTCCTTTCAGCTAACTATCTGCACTGGCGACTGGTGTTCGCTTTGGGCGACGAGACGAACCAGGCCGTGCGGGATCTCTTCGTCCGATTCTGGCGACGCGTCATGGGGGTCGAGCAGCTAACAACGAGGTACCTCATTTCAAATTGCACTTTGTCAACTTGGTGAAAAACCTGACGAGCATTCGACCGTGTTCCTAGCTCCAGAGTGCCAGGAAATGCTTGTGTCTGATAGGGAGGACATGTGCACGGCTTTTGTGAAAGACAGGATGGGGATGGCCGTCGGGAGCGTCTACGCATCCAACTTCCTACCACCCACTGCCAAGCAGGAGGTGAGGGGGTGAGGGGGGGAGGGGGGTTGGGGAGTGGGGGGACGGGGGAGGAGCCAAGAACGGCCAGCCTCTTGAGTAAGACACTCCCAATTATCCCATTGTGTTGCATGTGAGTAGTCGTGTGAGAAGTAACGTGACCTTTCATCCCACTCTTCCACGACTGGTATCACTCGGAATTAAGTGATAGTAATTGCATACATTTTGCATGCGAGCTATCAGGAACTTGGCAAAGTATTGCTTGATAAACTGTATCGTTCCTGATCAGATCCAGTGATCAAACCGGTTGGGGGAAGACATCGGTGGGGGATGACACTCCATTCAATGAAATATTGTAATTCGTTTCTTTTTTTTAATATAAAATTTAATGCGCAAAGGGTATAGAGTACTAACAATGCCCAAGTTTATGAAGTATTGTTGCTGTAGATCACGGAAAATGACAAAAAGAATTTCGATACGAAGCTAAAGCCAGTCTTCCAAGATTGGGACGCAATATTCGTGCGCCAACGGCGGAAGGGGAAAAAGACTCCCTTTTCCCCCTTGCATGTCGGCAAGAAAGGGGTTGACCTTTCGCATCGTGCGAGGCGGCGGTCAGATGCATGGAATCCAGGAGAATGCGACCTTAAAAGTGTCCGGAAAGCATGAAGCAAGAAAAACTCGGTACGACCCCGCTCTTTGCACGGCAAACGCGTCGCAGTACACAGGAACCGGATGCCTTGGGATTGCACGTCGAAATGCATGCTGTCGAGCGTGGACTTGAAACGTGGGAGAGAAACGTCTCAAGGTGCCGGCATGACTGGAATGCTTCAACCTATGCTACAAGCTCGTGCCGGTCGCCCTCGGGCCATCGATTGTCGTCATCGCCTGTTGCCATCGGCTGTTGCCATTGTTTGTCGCCATGCGATCCTGTATTCCTTCTGTGAACTTTCATTTTTCACAGCCAAAAAGCGATTCATACCTGGAACTCTCTCGGGACGCCACGTCGGTGATTATGATCAAAGGAAGCATCGTGTCTGTTACATTAAGCTGCAGCATATGTTGTGAATGCGTTACTCTGAAAATCCGCGATTGCACCCAAAATTCGTCCACCAAAGAGGCAATTCGGTTTTCAGCGTTAATATTTGTAGCTGTACTCCATCATACGTGCGATTCTTCTTTTTCTTTTATTTTTTAAGCAGTGGGGGGGAGGGGAAAGCCATGTTGAAATTGTAATAGTCTGATTTCGTGCATTGCAGGTAGAGTCGATATTTACAGACCTGAAGGCGGCGTTCGACGGGATCCTGGACTCGATCGACTGGATGGACGCGGCGACGCGGCGGAAGGCGAAGGAGAAGAACGATGCCATTCGGGCCTTCATCGGATACCCCGATTTCATCCTCAATCCAAAAGCCCTCGCCGAGTATTATGCTGCGGTCTGTTGTGATTTGCGGCCTTGGGGTTTTCTTATCGATTGCGATTCGGAGCGAGTTGGACCGCAGCCAAAACGTGGCTTCTGTCCCTTTTCCGTTGTCAATACAGTGTTCATAAGCATTAAAAAAAATTTGAAAAGCGGCTAAGAAAAGTTAGTTATCGCATATGTGAAGAAGGCGATATCCCAGATTGAATAGTCCAAAGGGTTGAGATCGGGCGAATGGGGCGGCCATTCTTGTGAAGAGACGAAGAATGGACATTCCAAAAGGATTCTGCACTGGCACACGAGGCTCGAACACTCAAGATCGGATTAGAGACAGTTTCCCTGGTTTCATCTCTTCACAAGAATGGCCGTCCCATTCGCTCGATCTCAACCTTTTGGACTATACAGTCTGGGGTATCTTGGAGTCGAAGGCCTGTGGAAAGCCTAAAATAAAAAATCAATTGAATCACTGAAGCGAGCTCTGTGGAAGGCATGGCATGAAATTCCTCTGGAGACTTGGGAAAACTCGTTGACAACTTCCCGATGAGATTTGAGCTGTGCATCGACGCTGGAGGTAGTCGTTTCGATAAAAAAAAAAAGATCCCGTTCTGTTCCCAAGATAATGAATTTTCTTTTCTGCCACATTATTTTTGGAAAATAGTTGATATTTAAAATAAAATTTGAACTTGTAAAAAATTACGGGAACTTTTGCGCCACCCTGTATATGGAGTATCAGTGTGTTTCGGCACAACAGCGTATTTCTAAGAGTTAAAAAAGAAGAAAGGGAAGGAAAATCTCGATTTTGAAGCAAGGCGAATCAAATACAAACATCCTGTTTTCCCTTTGACTTCGATTTGACCGGCTTGGACAGCCGGTGGGGACTCTTTGACCTGCCCTTTTGACCTTTTGACTTGACCCGATTTCCCTTTGCAGATTGAGGTGAATAAGGGGACTCATATGAGAAACGCAATTAGCCTGCTCGGGTGGTCGTGGAGGCGACAGGCGGCCGGCGTGAACAAGCCGGTGGACCGAGACGCCTGGATCATCCCCCCGACCGTCGTCGACGCCTTCTACTATTCCAGCACGAACTCCATCGTCATCCCGGCGGGGATCCTGCAGAGTCCGTTCTACCAGAAGGGGAGGCTCGCGGCCATGAACTACGGCGGGATCGGGATGGTCATCGGGCACGAGATCACGCACGGGTGAGCTGAGGGGGCAAACGGCACTCATTGAAGAAAACGGAAAACAACCTGATGCTTAGCTTTACATTTTTTTCCCACACAATTAATCGTCAATTGCTGCAGAGCTCAAGGGAAATGACAGCTTACAGAAGCCCATACTGACGTCCAGAGAGACATCTCTATCAAGAATGAATCTATATTTCCCGGTCCGTCGTTGCCAAGTCGGCAATTTCCCAGAGAGAGACTCTTAAATTCCAATCTACTGAAAGGAGGCTCGTACGTCTGGCCTCAAGGTCCATTGTTTATTGTTGGCAAATATTTCGAAAAAATTTCACACAAGTCTTGAATCATCTCCTCCTTAAATTGAAGCGGACGGATTTGGAATAAATGGGATAAGCGCACGAGGAAAAATCCGGTCAATTATTTATTGCGGTTTTTCTAACTTTTCTTTTATTAAATATTTTCTTTTACAGTAGGAAACGCCAAAGTGGAGAAGCTGTATAACGATGCATAAATAATGGGTAGTGGGGCAACATATGATGGGCATGATGGATTTACCAAAGGAATCATCAAAGATGAATTTTAAAAAATGCGATAATGGTGTATCCACAGCAAAAAGGGATTTATTTTTAATTTCGAAGCATTTCCGAAACTTCTGACCTTGCTCCCACTGTATTGGGACTTTCCCACAGGACGAGGGGCTTGTGCTCCTTGCCCAGGGACCAGGAGTAGCAAGGGTTTTCGAGACGGTCCAGTCGACTTCCCCGTGATTCTGGCGCTCATGGTGGAGGAATCCAATCGATTTTGCGACGCGATCCTATCAATGGTAACAATTGCATCGCTGCAGACAGGCGAATGCCTTTCGGTAGGTCCATGACGCAACGGCCAGAACAGGACTTGGGAATGGATTCTCCCCTAAATTCTTACCGATTCCAGTAAACTGGTTAACTATTTCAGCGATGTCATGTAGCTATTCATAATGATATTGTAAGTCTGGTTCTCGCATAATAGGCACGATGAATGTCCGATTTCTTCAAACCCAATGAACGTCGAAGATCCTCATGCCTCCACACATATTGGCAGGTTCGATCGCGACGGTGGCCTGTTCGATGCTCGTGGGAACCGGGTCGACTGGTGGACGGAGGCGACGCGCCTGGCCTTCTCGGAACGGGCGCAGTGCTTCGTCGAGCAGTACGGCGGCTACGGGGTCCTCGAGCTCGCGGAGTTCCTGGAAGGTAGGTTGGAAGGTTCAACGTCCATCCTTACTTAATCTTACCATTGCATTTAAGACGATAGTACTTCTTTCGTTTTTGCTCACTTGTGCACGTTGCAGACCCGCACGTCGACGGTCGGTTGACCCTGAGAGAGAACATAGCGGACAACGGAGGTTTGAGTGAGACCTGGTCCGCCTACCTCAGCTACGTCGACCGGAACGGAACGGAACCCTTCCTCCCTGGTCTCGAGTTCCTCACGCCTGAGCAGCTCGTCTTTGTCGCCTTCGCCCAAGTACGAGGACTTCTTGCATTATCTGTCGTTTTTCGTATGCTCCTGCTTACCTCTTTGTTTCAGAACTCGTGCGGTCACAGCAAGGAGGAGTATCTGCTGAACACAGGTCTGAGAGACCCGCACAGTCCACCCAAGTACAGGGTCCGCGGAGCCCTTAGCAACAACGCCGCATTCGCCACGGCCTTCGGGTGCTCAGCAGACAAGCCCATGTTCAATGGGGACGCCAGCTGCGTCATGTGGTTCGTGTCCGATACTTCTCCCGCAGCGAAAGAGGGCTGTAGCCCTAGCTGACGTTACATTTGCCTCGCTGTTATTTTCAGGGCATAGGAGGGATCTGCTCGGTCGCTTCCTCCTATTCATGATGTCGATACATTCTGTGGGACTGCTACGACCATTGGACGCTGGGGATTTCCTTTGAATCCTGTCTCTCTCGACCAATTTTTTTCTTGCATGATGTGATTAGATGTCTTTTCCAGTAATGTTTGCTGCCTGGTTGACATCGAAAATATATGTATTGAACCTCACTGCTCTCGGGATATATGTTGACAATGTAGCGACTTGCAGATTTTCCTACAAATACTAATATCTTGAAAATATGTAGCCAGAAGAAAAGTGTTTTGAACCCTACCATAAAACAGTAGCTATAAAAATTGTCTCTCGTGATTTTTTTTGTAGAACGCGTAAATTTTTTAAAGATGAATTTCAGAAATTGATTGAAAAAAATCGTACATCATTTTCAATTCAAAACCTCTTAAAATCCGACATCCAGTGTATAGTTGCCATCGTCTTTTGGGTATCAGCTTCAACGGGATCCAGGCTCTCTCTTCGCCCTAACGCATTGCAAGCGCTGTACTTTCGAGGAAACTAAATGGAACTGTTAGTGGGAATATACTGGTTGTGGAAGGTACGATCCAGTTCGTTTGAATGTTTGCCCTTGACTCTTGTTGATAGTCAAGGCTTGGAAACTGTCGCCTTTCGATCGTGAGAGGCATCGTCGGGTCTGAAGGAGCCAAGTGAAAACGTAGAACAACAATCTTCGTCCTTGAGCTTCGCTAGGCGATATCTCCACGTCCAACAGTTCCCATGCAGTCGCACGTCTAAGATTCGAACTCCGTCAATCAGACCTTGCTCGCCATTTGGGTTTCTGACGAGCATGGCGATTATATCATGCTTTAAAGTCAATTCATGGGGAGCAAGCCCAGCTGGATTGAGACTGTCGATGATCTCCATTTTGGAATTATTTTCTCTTCTTCGTTATTCAAGACTACACTGTCGATACTTTACTACGTCCTTTATTTTGTCTAGTTCCCATTTTTACTTGAAGTTTACGTGGAACAGTGAAGGAATTATTTTTTCACGCAAACATGCAAATACGTAAACATACGTGCAAGTGCTTGTGAAAATGTTCTTTTTATGCGTGTTACCAACAATGTTCTGACTTTCCTGGGAGTAAAGGTGTTCTAAATGTTTTACGGATAAAACAGTCGTTGTTTTTTGCCAATGGTAGAACCTGGAGTTAGAGCATACACGGACGTGGCCCGGTCCGAACGCTCCAACCCGACTCGACCCGCGGACCGACTAGGGTCGAACTTTTATCATGTCCTAGACGTTGGGAATGGGAAACTCCAGAGTTTGGCAGATTTTTTGGCACGGCCGACTGCGATTTCTGATTCTCACGATCACATGAAGAGTGTGCGGCATGATAAAAGATGAGTGATGTATGATAAATCGCTGCAATTTCGCTCCATGATCTCAGCTTGCAAGCTCAGATCGGGTCTGTGCTGAAAAAAAATCGCACATGAACAATACTGTAGACCAGTGATGTACATACAACCTGCGAGCCACGGGCCGCATGCGGCCCGCAGATACTTTTTCTGCCGCCCCTTGCATGGCTCCGATCTCAAAAGATCCAGATTTAAATGCAGCTTATTTCGGCTAGTATTAGGTCTGCAGCCCTCGAACCCCCTCGAACATAAGCCGAAGATTCAATATGGCAATCTTAGGGGAAAATTTTGTTCACCACTGCTGTAGACCAACCGAAACGATTTTGCGAAGGAAACAATCACATCTTCTGCATGGGATCCCTTGATTCTCCACTTTATTGAAGCGTCTTCTCGTGACCATCTCCAATCCATGGAATCCTGCACGAAGTGGCAGATGAGGCAATGGAAATAACGACAAGCTTCATTCCAGTTTGATAACAGCATAGGAACTTATATAGTTTTACACACACCCGATTGGAAGAACTTTCATGATAAATGCGTAGTCCTTATCATCCTCGTAGGCTTTATTACTCTGCTCCATTTTTATCGCATCGTCGATTGCACAGTCGCTTCGTCCATTGCCCAGCCACTTCGTCCATTACCCAGCCACTTCGTCAGGTGATCTACGCGACAAGAGAGGACCAACATGACCCTCAAGTTAGTTATAACTATCCTCCATTTAATATTTGTCGTTCCATTTGCAATTACTTAAACAAGAGTATTTTTTATTTTTCCTTTTACTCGTGCCACTATCATGCTGATAGTTGAATTCGCGTATATTTGCAGTAAAATCTCGATATATCTTTCCGAAGTATTCCTCCATCTTTGCTTATATTTTAACCTATTCCATGGAACTAATCCCCCAATAGGTTTCTCATATGAAAAATAATGAACTCCATTTGACCCCATCACTGTTTTGACATCAAAATAGTTGTAGCCAACAGTGGAATTTATATTGAGGGTTTAAGAGACTATAATCTGAATTCATATCAGAGATATATTCCTGAGTTCCGGGTTTTTCTGTTATTCTTTCACGTTAATCTGCAGACTCCTGGCTGTTCTCCTCTTCCTGGTTCTTGCGGAGGCAGCGCAGAAGGAGGCAGCCACGAAAAGTTAGTCTTTCCCCAATCAAGCTCTTCTTTCACTTCTTGAGAGATCCGCAACAGCTGATGACCGCACGATCGTTGCACCAGGTTCGGAGGCGACACGGATGGAGATGAGATCGACGCCGCTGAAGGACGGAAAGCTGGAAAAGCCTCACATCCCCCTTTTCCTGCTCGACTCCAACGGAATTCCCAACAGGAATGCATTCGTGGAAGGCAGGCCGTAGCGCGTGAAGCCGGAGGTCGAGAAACCATTTACTGAATCATAGCAGCAGAAGAACCTTAGCAGGAAGCCAGAATGTTCAGAAGCCGGTGTTAATTACTTTCTGAATCCGTGGAATTTAGTCATGTCAATCATTAAACTCGGTTCAAATGGTTAACATTGACAAGAGTTTTCATTTTTATTTCATATCTTTTAAATGTGTACTAGCGTTTTTATGAAGCGCACTTTTGGGCATATTTAAGTACTACTTAGTACTGTTGAACACAATTCTGAAAGATTCGCGAAGTCCACCCAAGTACAGGGTCCGCGGGGCCCTTAGCAACAACGCCGCATTCGCCATGGTCTTCGGGTGCTCAGTGGACAAGCCCATGTTCAATGAGAAAGCCTGCTGCGTCATGTGGTACGTGTAGGATACTTCTCCCCCCGCGAAAAAGGGCCGAAACGGCCTCCCCCAGTCAGCAATTTGCGTGACTGCGTGCTCATTGGACTCCCAGAACGGACCATTAGACATAGGAAAAGTGCATATTTGTGCCCATTTTGCTTCGGTGCCGTTCCAACGATCGTACTTTACAACATGAGTCGTATCGCAAGAAATATATACCACTGCACGTTTCTGCTTCGCTTTGAGGTCCCAAAAAAATCGCAGAAACAGCGACATCGGCCCTGTCCCTGCAACGTTGCCGGTTTCGTTCCGAGCCGTCAATCGCCCAGCCCTTCTTTCCCACGCTTGAACTGGAACCGGCTGATGTCGAAATAGGGGAAAACCGTGTGAGTGCAAGCGGCGACAAACTGACAAAATATTCCATGTTTCATCATGGACGCTTGTAATCCCTTGAGTCATGACAGCAGGCGAAAGGCACTGCGATGAGCGATGTCACCGCTCCCTGATCAGTATCACACCAAATCTTGTCCCCCATTCCATCCTGAAGATGGCGAGACGAGAAGGAAACACGTTTCTTTGTGAAAGATGTCTTCTTCCTTTCCTGAGGCCTATCTGCCAATTTCGTATCGCGAAGACACATCCTCGGATGGGAAGGAAGATTTTGTGCTGAAATATCAGTTCATATCTCGAAACGTTTGGCCTGTAGAACTGTCACGCACACAAATGCACATTTGTCGCTTAGTCTTATTAGCAGTTAGGATCCCACACGCCATGTTTAACTCCAGACCTTGGTAGGTTGGTTGCTTAGCAACCGAGATCCTCCAGTTTGAATGAGACGAATAATAATAATCATGAATTCAAATCATAATATGTAAAAAGGCATGGATCTAGCCATATTCAACGGGCAGAGAAAAATTGCAAAAACAAATATAATTAATTATGTCTTAATTAATCATATAAATAAAAATAATTAATCATGTATTTTTGAGCCGGAAACCTGCCTCGTCGATCTAATTGAAACAGTATTTGAACGAATACACTTTTATTCTCTTCATAATTTTTTTTTTCAAAAAAAGGAAAACAATTCTTCCATCCGAATTACTTTCCATTTCATGATAACTGAAGACTTCTTGCTGAAGACGAAGCCCATCACCAAATAATGAACTTATCTTTGAAAACCATTTGATTTGCTTGAAATAGCAATATCATAGAGCATGTGAAGCGATAGGAACATCCTGATTTCGAAAGATAGTTATGAGTCGAAATGGCGTTGTGCGTAATCCTGTTACAGAATTTTAAAAAGATACATGGAAAAGAAGATGGTATACAGGTATTTTCCCATATGTACACAGCGAGTTGAACTTAGCCATTTTATAGTCTGGAAGTATTCTAAGGACGCATTTTCAACTGAAATATATTTTTTTCTGTGCTTGGCAAAAATAATCACTCCCCAAGCATACCCCTATTTTGAAATCACCCAACTCAACAATCATACGGCAGCGATTTAGCAAATGATCAAACTTCCATTCGCCATTTTCTTTCATTCGAGGAAATAAAGGGACCTAAGATTAGCTCTGACTTCTTCCTCAGTAAATTGCTTCCATGCCGGAGGCAGTTCACTCGAGACCTTCATATTGTATGTTTCCGCCAATGCCTTTTCATGTCTGGCGATGAAACGCTTCCAGAAGAGAGGGGAAGCCTCTTGTTCCTTCGGAGGAATGTCCCAATCGGGATACTTTCTTCTGTACTCTTTATACAGAGTCCATTTCTCCTCTTCTGAGTTTCTGAACCACCCCTCAGATCCTACGAGTTCAGGACACGTCCCCAATACAGTTTCCCTCGTTACAATCCACCGCCACCCTCTGATGCATTTGGGGATGTGAATCCCCGTGGCATGAAGAGAGACTGAACCCTTTTGTTCATCTTTCAGATTTTGAGTAGTGAATCTCTCTTTAATTTTCTCCACAAATGATGACTCTTTGAATGGCACGATAGCGTTAGAGTCCACGTGGTTTTCGGAGGAATGCTCACATTCAGCCCCACAAAATGGGCATCGCTCAAGACAACCCAACAAGTTCTTCAGCAGGCGACTGATGGGTGAATTTGCATCATCACCCGCGAGGATGTCCATCGGTGAAATTTCCAATTGATTTTCCTTTTCTTTGAAGAGCAGGTTCCTCAAAAGAGGAAGGACCTCTTTTACAGGAATTTCAGAGCATTGATTCTGCACAAATAAGCCGAAGTCGATGGGGCATGCCAACTTTAGGTGATCATTGACCTTTTCAATGATATCACCAAAAAGAGGATTCCCTCCAAGGTCTTCAAGGAATTTCAGAAAACTCTCAGTGGTTCTACTGAAAAACTCATATATGATCTTCGAGCAATCGAAAAATTCATTTCCACGATTTTTGTCGAGGAACTCAAACGCCAGCATTTTCGCGTACATTCGCTTCCATTGGTCGGGGCTCTTGACAAACTCCATTGTTGTATCAAAATCATCTTTTTTGACCAAGTTGAACAAGCAGTACCCACTGAACGTTTTCTTGTTCTTGAAGAACTTCTGCTTTCCCAAAAAGTTAAAAAATTCTCGTCTTGCATGCAATGATGCTGATTCTCGGAAGGACTTGCAAACAGGTTGGGAAACGAATTTTTCAGCCTTATTCAGTTTTTCATCCCACTTTAATTTGGCAGTAGCAGATGCTGTTTCCATATTCCCCAAAAAATTGTCTTTCATCGCGAGAAGTTCCTTTTCCATATTGGCCTGTTCTTGGTTTTGAGCTCTCAATAAATGAGGAACGCACTCTCGACTTGCCACTACAAGAACCTTTGCCGCCATCTGCCCTTTGGGAGCCTCCTTCTCTGTTGCTTCCTTTGCGTACGCGTATATTTCATCCAGAACTCTCTTCATGGAGCCGCCTCTAGCATATTCTTCTGCAATGCTCGGAATTTCCAATTTTTTCATGCAATTTTCGGCAATTTCTTGAACCCGTCCCATATTTTGGTTCTTTTGGAGCAGATATTCATACCCCCATCGAAAAAATCCTTTCTCACCTTCCTTCTCTTCTGCTTTCACGTCCCAGCATTCTTGGATTTCTTTGTGATGTTTTTCTGGAATCACCTTTAACAGTTCCAATTTTATCTTTCCTGACAAGGCTTCAAGGGGGTTCAAGTCAGTTGAGTTTATGCCCATAACTTTCCTCAAATCACCTTCCCGACGATTCCATACTTCTTCAAATGCTCCTAAATTACCCTCTCCTTGCGTCTCGATTTCCATTACCATTTCCTTTATGACTTTGTCGACAGCGAATTTCAGGCGAAATATTGCAGATTGCTTTCGTTCTTCCGCTGCCAAAAAGGCACGGAATTCGTCTCTTTTTGCGTCGACTAGGCCCCGAAGTTGCGACGTAATCTTCTCGCCCCACATCTCGCAAAGTTCCTTTCGTTCTGATGAATTGATCTTCTCATTCAGTTCTTTGGTCTTCTCCTTGAAAATTTCCTCCGCCAGGATATCCAGTTCCATCATCCTACCCTCGCACACTTCCTGAACCTTGCGTTCGTCATTTGCTCTCATGATTTCTCCTCTCCATTCATCCCAAGACCTAATAAGTTGGCAATCCGCTTCGTGTACCAGTGACTGCAACATACCTTCCACATCATTGTAAGCCGCCATTTCCATGACATTGCGAAAATTGAAGGCAAAGTTTTCCCTCATGATTGCTCTCCATAACTCCCCTAGATGTCGACTGAAGATGTTCAGGTCCCTGCCACTGCAGGAGCGTAGCTTCTCCAAGATTACCGACTTCATTTGTTTCGCTTTGCATCCATATTCTTCAGAGTGAATGCTAAGTTTGCCAGAACGAAGCAAAGAAGGAAAGTAGTGTGTATCTTCTGTCAAGTTTAATTTGATGACATCATGGAAGCTACTGATTTTTGGATACGAGTCTTCTTCCTTTGCCGCAACAATCGTCATTTCATCGAGGACCTCTTGCATTTTCTTCAGACCTTGCAACCGAGACCTATGCGCGTCTTCTCGCACATTTTGATGGATGATCACCACCTTGGGCGATATTTTGACCTCGTTCATTCGGATGAACCCATGCAGGACGGTGGGCAGAAGGTCTTTCACATCAGATGGCGTTTCGCCCATCACATTGAGGAGAGTCAGGTCAGCCAGTCCAATAGCAAATGTAGCCAGTTCATAATCTCGCCTTCCAGAGAGATCGTCTGAAAGTTCTGGTGCTCTCAATCCCTCTGTATCAAGGAGGATTAAGTAGTCCGTGCATGACTGGCCTTCTTGATATGAATCGTGAAATGGGAAACATTGCATATAGACCCCCTTCGTACACCTTCCTGTTCGAGCTAAAAAGTCTGATCCGAAAATCGTGTTCAACATTGTGGACTTACCCGAGCTTTGAATGCCGATGACTGAAAGCACCCAGATCTTACGAGATCTTCTTTCAATGCGCTCAAAGATATCTGTTAACCACTTCATAGGGATGTAGCCATTATCACCATCCAATAACTCCAATGGCATTCCAGCCAGAATCAGCGAAGCCATTGTATCTGGAAGGCTAGATACAACTTCCTTATATTCTGTGCCGCTGAGGCATTCGTATATCTGAGCTAGCTCTCTGAAAATATTCTCCATGCCCAAAGATGCTTCCTTCATTTTCGTCTCTACCTCTGCAAGCTGCTTTTTCTTTTCCTTTCTTCCATCAATGTCATCCTTTTCTGCAGAAATGTTGAGCAGTTCCCATTTTTT